CGTTTTCGAAGTATGGAGAGACCCAAGGTTTTAAGCAGCCCAGCAGGAAATGTAAATTTGATATGCATTACTAGAATACATAAACCAAAAAATCAAATCTCCAATAAACATTATTTTTTTTTCAAACCTCAAAAAATTAACCCCATGAAAATGTGTGATTTTACAGTATTTTCACCTGAATCCTGGAATGTATTCGAATGGTCATCAATTTAACTTAACCCTAAGTGTTCCACTCTTTACTAAATTGCACAGTATGATTGATGTACAAGATATTACACATTTATGGAAAAAGAAAGTAAAATCATCCAAAAACAACCGTAGAATATAAGAAATAACATCAACATTTTTTTCAATAATTAAATCATTATGGCAATTCAATTACTGGTATCAGTTTGGCCATACTTGTAGACTTTAACTTTAGCGGATTTATTTTGCCCAGATTGTCCAATAAAAAGTTTTCCCTTCCCGTCTGAATAAAGGGCACGTGGGCTATTCAGAGGCGAACTTTCTAGTGCGAAAGATAAACATTTAAGGAAATTCCCTTTCTTGTCAAGGATTTCGATCTCATTTGAGCAGTAATTTGAAACTAATATGTGACCAAATCTGTCTATGCATATTCCAGATGGATAAAAATTACTGGAATTTCCACTAAGACGAGGGTAAGTGAAAATGACATTACCTTTTTTATCAAACCCCACAACAGTACATTTTTTTTTATCCATCACGAATATATCACCTTCCTCGTTTTCTGTTATTTCATTCGGATGCTGAAACAAGACTTGTTCCGTACTTGTCCCTTGAATTTCGTTCTCAACCACACCAATATTGTTGTACCTAACAATTTTTGCGTTGTTTTCTTTTATTTGACCAACATGTATACTCTCATCAAAATGTGACAAGTAAATACATGTGGGTTCCCAGTCCTTAGTTAAAATAAAAACATATGAAAATTCGTCAAATATATTCAATTTTTTGTAAATCCCCCTCTGCTTCTGGTTGGTATAAAGCAGTTCGTTCGCCCTTGTAATTGCGTGACAGATCCTTGCACCCGAAGTGTCTACAGGTAAACGGCTGAAAATGGTTCCCCACATGTCGATGTGTAAAAGGCTGCCTCTGTCGTCGCTAATCCACAGTGTATCGTTTACGGAAACAGAAATATGAGAAACGCAGTCTATTTTTGGTATATTTAACGTTAACATCTTAAAAGCATTTGGAAGTGAATCCCACTGGATATTACCTAAAAGTGAGTTTGAAATATTGATTTCTTTGAATGGATTAAAACATAGTTTATATGCATTGTGTACAATGGAGCAAACATAGCCATGCGCGGATCCAGGGATATCTTCTAAAAGGGATGGGGTTGGAGAAGTCCACATCAACTTGTCCGACTCGGTAGTTCTTTGCCAATCAAAGATTTATTAATAAACACGTACACAACTTGCATGAACCTGTGAAACCTGGAGTAGGGTTGGAGAGTCGCTTCAACGTCTTTTACTTAAGAAAGATGATATCCCTAAGTATTTTAAGTATTTTAAAAAGGGTGCTTTTTGAAATGGTCCAAAGTAATTCTTTGTCTTTTACAAGAGACAGGGTCAAAGAATGAGTGCATTTAAGTACGTCATTTGGAACCTACTCGGCTACCCATTATAAGCTTAATATTACAATATATCGCTAAATTAATCCATGATTAATGTGCAAGCATATGCTTTTGATATTTATATCTAGAATTTTTTGTCATACATATTTCTATAATTACAGACAATGTAATTGAAAAAAAAACATGTAAAAGCCTTGAATTCCGGAAAGAACAAGTCTCAATAAGCCATTATCTGTGGTCCCCGGTTACTCGTCAATTTTTTAACTTTCGTTAAAACCTTAAAAATTACATTATATTATTCTCTTATGTCTGTAGTATATGCGCCAGGGTTTAAAAATATCAAATAATTGCAATAGACGACACGCGAATCTGTGTTGTGAAGGTGGGGTCCTTTGATTTTCATGAATATCAAAAGAAATTTGTGACAGGTACACACTTCACAGCTTCCGTAGACATCGAGCGCAAGTTTGTTTAAAGTCGAGATCGAAATATAATGTGTATATTACATTAATAAAGGTTGTGTGAAAATATCTTTGTTGAACAACCTTGCGCTCTATGTTTTCTACTTAAAAGTATAATGATTTTAAATCTGTTCGGTGAATACATTTACATCTATTAGGATTAACCTCTTGTTGACCTACTAAAAATAGATAATATGTCACGTGAATCCATAATGTCACAGGTGAATACCTCTGGAAAGCGTGTTTACTTTCTGAAGCAACACATGTAGCTTGTATTTGAAAACTACAATCAACCACTTTCATTTTTTAAAATTTAAAACAAAGTTCTCACTAGACTTCGATGAATATCATTTATGTTATACCGTGGGCTTTGATGATTCTCCAGGACATGTTTTAATTCTTATGCGTGTAATCGCAATTTTCCTAATCATTGTCATTGCAAAGAGCACACGTATCAATATAGTAGTAGATTTATATAAATACACAGTTAAACATTTTCTTGCGAAAAAAAAACCCCAAACCCCTCCCCCCCCCCAAAAAAAAAACAAACAAACAAAAACACACGAATCAATATAGTAGTAGATTTATAGAAATACACATTTTAACATTTTCTTGCGAAAAAAAAAAACAAACAAAAAAAAAACAAGCAAACGATTCCAAAGAAGTTACAATTTCTTCACATTTAATCTAAACAAATAAATGTACACTATACTAAGTAACCACTTGAATATCCAAAAAAACTTCACACTCTATCCACGTTTTGGACTCATATAAACTCGGAAAAATTATTCGAATGTGTTAACAGAATGCAACAATGAAGATGATTATTGAGTTTGGATTTCATCTCCCAATCTTGTGAACTTCATTATGAAACAAAAAGAATCCGTGTAAAATATAATACATGTAATAATTAATGTTTCTTTATTCCAACAACTGTATTTGAAGTGTATAATTATGTATTTGTACACGTCATGTATTGATCAACTATCGATAAGTAAATCAGAATATTCATTACAGCATTTAGCGCGAAATTCAGAAATACATAACATGTCAGGAAGGTAGTATCAGGGGGAGGGGTGACACCTTGTTCCCCCCTAAAAAAAATCTGTCACGCCTTTACGCTGTTACGATATGAATAAATACACATCAATGTTAGTGTTAATTTTTTTCTAATCAAAATGAGTAAAAGTTTGACTCCCACTCCTACATAATCGATTTTTTTTTCGAGTTTGGAAACTGGGTTCCTCTTTTTCTTTCGCTTTATCAAACTTTTGTGTATGTATCTATTCTTGTCTATTCCCCCCCCTTTATAAACGAAGGGAGGGAGTGTATTACTGTGTGTATTTGCCGTAAATTAATGTTCGCTCGTTTGTACTTTTTGGATGATGATATATATATATAAGAAAAAAATTAATATAGTGGTAAAAATACTTTGACATTTGAATTTACAATGATAGATAAAAAAAAATTCAGTAAAACGTGATTAGGGGATTTTCAAAACGACTAAAAATACCTCAAGAACGAAATGAAGATCCCCACCCACTCCAAGTTAAGAAGAATACGAATAATATGCAAAAAAAAAAATTACCAACCATCAATATTTTTATATTTATCTTATCTCACGCTACAGCTCACAATGTCTTTCTTTATATAGTACCTGATTTAAATGTCATTTTCATGTATTAAAGAAACTGTACTCTGTTCGAAAGAAAATGTTCCGGAATTTGTATGAGCGGTAGGTGTTGGAAATTGACTTGTATTTCTTGATATTCAAATTTAGTGGTAATGATTGCACAACATTTTAATTAGAAATACTATGTTATACATCATAAAAATAAAATAATTCCGTATCCTCAGGTATATTCTGTAAAATAAGGGCGAAAAAAAGGGACCAAACTACTATACTTAAGTGGAATACTCCTTTGAACGGGACCACTTTCAAATCTAAGGTATCCGCAAATAGGCGGAGACATTTAAATCGCATGGTTGTGGAATGTAAACATTAGCACATTTTTTTTTGCACTACGAATTTAAATGGAGATCATGTTGATTTTATGGTGTACAATTAATAAATATTCCAATGTTTAGGGATGGGGTAGATGTCTCGCCCTGCAGACCATAATACAGAGGCGACATAAACCTGTACATGTACTTACTATTTACAAGTGTTAATACCAGAATTCTTTCAAAACAACCCTATAATGAAAAGCATAAAGTTAAATAAGTGACATATTATCTTCAAACCCTATTAAACTTTGCGCAAAAAACTTCCATAGTCTGAAGCTGGAAGTACGATAGATACTGTCACAACAGAAATTTAAAAACAATGAAATGTTCAATGAAAGCGTTAGCGTATCGAACAGCAAATTGGTTTGTCACGTGAGTAAGGTGATTATAATATCAATCGTTGGTGCTCAGTGACCGGTTAATTTAGTAGCTATCTCGACCTTTGTTTCAGGGGACATTTTTTAAAAAAATTAGATATGAGCCGCAACTTGGCCAACATTGTTCTTTGGATATGTATAAGTTTAAATTACAATACATATTCTGTGCAAATGAGATCAATGGTCAAGTTGCGGCTCGATGTAAACAATGTCATTGAAAACTATTATGCATATGAATAACAATAGAAATGTGACAAAACTGTTAGACCCCGTCTCAAAAGCTAGTGTCTCTCAGCATTATTTAATAATTCCATGATATATAATATACCAAAACCTGCTCTTTAGACATTGTTTAATTACCTATAAAACATAAATTTAATGAATTTTGGAATTTAATTTTGCGCAAAACATTGGGATCCAACTCTCATAGCTTAAGTGCAGTCATTCTTTTATTTTTCCCTACATAGAATTTCATTACTTTGAATATCCCAACCCACGACTCCCTCTTGATCCGCGCATGATAACCTAGGTAAAATTTCTTTTATTCATTCTCTAACATTAAGTACCTTGCGTATTCGTGTGATTTCTTTGTGTAGGTAAAACTGAAGGGAAACTCAGTGATTCTGATGTCCTTTCAATATCTGTAATAAAAAATCAAAATGTATTCTTTTCAATTTTAAATATTTCAATTTAATCTGTTTATAATTCATGCATATTTTTTCCTGCCAGGAATGTATCACTTATTAGTTATAAATTTTAAAGACTCACCTTCTTTTATACTTAGGAAAGCAGGCTTACTTATACCTTCTCCGAGTTCGTTGCTAACAACCATTTTATAAAAACCACCATCAGAAGACCTGGCTAAATTTTTAACTAATCCAGCATGCTTGTCATCAATAAATTCCTGAAATCCCTTTTCTTTAATTTCTATTTCTGTATATTCTCCAAATTCTTCTTTGCAAAACAGCCATTTTACACTTGAAGGCGATGGAAATGAATTTAAATCACCGTATATTGTTACTTCATTGTCTTCATAGCCTTCATACTTCCTTTTCAATTTGGGATGTGGTATGTCTAAAAAAAATATAAGTATGCATGAATTACTTTCATAACGTTTACAACAAAAAATTTACAAACATTAACAACAAATACGGTAGTTTACATACTCTGAATTAAAAATATGCAATTGCAAAATATTAGGACAACATTACCTCCAAGAACAGAAACTTCAACGTCATTGCTGGTAATACGCTCATCAGCTAGATAACCCACAAGTCTGTATTTTATAGCATCATCGAGTTTCGTATCGTTAATTACTAGGCAAGGTTTTGAAGGGTCGATAATGCTTCCGATGTACTTGGAGTTATCAATTGATATCCTTTCAAACTTTTTGCTCCGTTTTGAGACTGTCTGCCACTCAAGGCCTTGGATTTGGAAATTACTATTCACTTTTCCAGTGATCGTTGTTTTCTCACCAAATTTGGAAACACTGTTGGTCACTTTGATGGATAGGATTTCTGTAAATGAAAACAATATGTCTTGATTATATATGTGCAGCAGCATGAGATATGTAATACTGACACAACTCGTACGTGTATTTAAGCCATTTTTTTTTTTATTTAAGAAGGATAGAATTTAAAAAAAAGTGAAATTTGACGGGTTTGACAGTTCTGACTTCAATTCTGTAGAATTAAAATCATAATCATAAATCAAATCTTTAACATGGACAGAGCGGCTTTTACAAATAGCATTTTAGTTCACTCAAAAAGTTTTACTTATATGTCAAAAGGATGAAATTTGATTCTTCCACCATGCTGGAGCAATGCAAAATTGTTGATGTCAGTTAATTTTCTATTTTCATTTTACTACATATCATCAATTCATTTATTTTTATACTGATTTATCTAAAATAAAATTAAGAAAAAATATTGTTCGGTCGACAGATGATACTTATTCCTGTTCAAGGTAAATGTATTTGCCAAAATGATTTGATCTTAATTCTGATGTTTTCTAATTGTTGTATTGTTTATTTTTTTCCATAATGGAAGATTAAGGGGAATTAATATTTTTGTGTGTTTGTCCGTAGATCTACATAGCTGTCTTTGTTAATCTGTTTGCATATTATTAATAATGTAATTATTATATAATATAATTTGTATTAATAATTGATATTTATTGCTGTGACAGGACCTTTAGTATCCTAGAGTTGGACATACTTTTGCAAAATTTAATTTTACCAAATTTTGTCAAACTAAACAGGTTGTCTATTGGCTATTTCACTTCACATGTTTGAAACCTTTCTTTTTGTAGTTACATTTATTTAGCTTTTGACCCTGGAATTTGACCTACTTCTAATACACTTCAACCGTGACCACTACATTTGGTCGCAGGTTGTAGGAGTTGACCCAGGGGCCCTGGTTTTAGGGCGGGACTCTTATGATTATATAGTGAAAATGTATGAATTCTTTGAAAATCTTTCCCTTTGCTCCTCGGTATTATTCCAATGATCTGTTTACATATTTTATGATGAAGAAAGGTGTTTCTTCCAAAATGGTTATTTCCAGGACCCCAGGGTCAGGAGTACGGGGGTGGGGGGGGGGGGTAACAAAGTCTGAAAATAAATTGTTTTGTAATCTGCTCTTTGGTTTTTCTTTAAATTAAAAATGGAGACAACGAACAAATTTGTTTTGCCAAAGGTGAACATGTTTACAACCGCTCCAGAACTATGTGGTTTATAAAGTTTAAAACATTTTACATTTTATAAATCATTGATTAACAGATAAAAATTACAGACTGTTGATATCCTTGTTTGATCATCTTTTTCGTGAATAGATTGTCTCGTTTAAAAATCATCATACTTAGAGCATGCTCTTGAGTACTGAATGAAACATATGGAGATAACAAACAGTATTCAAGATCAAACGTCTATAAAACGATACAAAATAGGAGCAGAGCAAACACGGACCTCCAAACCATCAGAGGTGGGATCAGGTGCCATGGAGGAGTGAGCATCCCCTGCCGACCGGTACACCCTCCGTGTGCTCTTTGTCATGATAGGGAAATAACGGAAAATTCTGCTTAAATTCAGAAATATGTAATTACAGTCAAATGATTTAACTGCTTGTTATATCTTAAATGTAAAAAAAAAAATGACATTTTTAAAATGCAAAAAGGTCAAATAATTGAATATGCGAAGTAATCTGAAAAATTTTTCTTGTTGTTACAAATCTTGAAGAGCCTATATTCAAGACGAATAAAAGACTGTGTTTGTGACCATAATTTATTTCGATAAAACTATGAGAGGAAATCTTTTAAAAATTGATTTATTTGTTAGATGTAATTACAGTGCAAAAAGGTCATATTAAATGATCCGTAGTGTCGAAAGACGCGCATTGACCCCCTTTTTTTGTTTTAATTTTTATAATTAAATTATTTAACAGGATCTAACTTCCTTTAGGAACCAAATAAGGTATTCAAATTACTTTTTTCCATGTTATCCATTGTAAGTAACTTTCTATGATCCTCAGGATACTTCTTACGATCATTCAATTTTTCTGTACTTGTTTTAAAATGTTGCTCGCTTTTGCAAGAATTAGAAGTATCAGTTGAATGTGTTTCTTCACGGCTTTCTGATTCCGGTGTAGGTAAACCTATAAAAATATAACTTAATTAATTTTTTAATGATTCTTCATATAAATAAAGGGTGTTAAGAAAGTTCTTCTACATTTTTCTTCTATTTTCGAAAAGAAATTCGACGAGAAGATATTTACAATTTGTGATATTTCATGTCTACAGAGTCCATTCTTGCTACTGATTAGGTTTTAACTGTCTTTTGTTGAATCCATAAAAGGAGGGCAGGTATTAAAACAGATTATGTCTGTTCAGAAAAACTAGGGATGACGCATATCTATGACATATATTAAGCACACAGGTCAAAACATCCTTTCAAATACTATGCAAAAATTATCAGATCTGTGAAAAATTTCAAAATGACAAACCTATTCTTTTGAAAAGTGATTTATCGTTCTTATGCATACGCTCATCACCGTGTCTGATGCAAGATTCCCCATTTTCAAAAGTTGAGTTATTTCCCCTGAAAAGAACTCTTTTACTGTGTTTAATACAGAGAGCTACAGCAGCTACCAATCTAATTAAAATCAGACTTCTTAGATCCGCGCCGTATACACTCTTACGCAGAGTGTATATACGGCGCGGATCTAAGAAGTCTGATTTTAATTAGATTGCAGCAGCTACATATACATCGGTAGTTCGTCTTCTGCTACCGATACCAAGGAACTGCGTTTTTGCTCGATTGTATGTCATAACATAGAACTTTTACTTACAGACCTATTTTATTTGAATTAACCGTGTTTCCAGAATTTTTTATTTGTAAAATAATTGATTCACTGTATAGTATTAAAACTTTGAATGGAATTCTAAATGAATAATTTAATCTCATGTGCTCATGTAACGAAGAAAGACTAATTAAAATACAATAGTACATGTTTTCATTTTTATAAGTTATTCTTTTTTTTTTGGCAAAGTGTGTAAAAAACAATATCTCAGAGAGAGAGAGAGAGGGGGGGGGGAGGGAGAGAGAGAGACTCATGAAACCCCGTGTAACTGACATACATGTACATCTGTGAAAAAATATATGTACCGTAATTATATTGAATTCACAATTAATATTTCTAATAATTTTTAATTTCCACAACTTTGGTTTATATTCAACTCCCAACCCATTTACACATTCGTTCTCTGTACCTGTACGCACGAAACCCTCGTGCGTCACCTCAGTGTCAATCAAATTCGCATGAAAGTTGATTTGAAACATTCTTTCAGTTCTGAGTTCAAGTGTGTAACACACTAAACTGACAACCAGCGAAATTCATCTTCCCATTTTCATCACAACGCTTATCAAAAACTTACATGTACGTGTATTTTCTAAATTATCTTTTTTTAAGACATAAATAAGATGTATCCCGTTGATTATACATGTAAGATTAAAAAAAAAATTACAAAAACGTACCATAAAATTGCAAATTTCTGATGAAGTTGTTTACCAGCTAACAGGCAAGTAGCAACGGAGGGGGGAGGGGCAAGGGGCCTAGCCCCACCCCCACTTTTTTCCCAACATTACTTTTTTGATTGAAAATGTTCATTGAAAGACATGTTGCCATCCCCCCCCCCCCTCGCCACACACACAGAGTTTATACTACGGTAAAGTTATATAAGGGAAATGTAGTATTGTATGCCAAGGAACTGGTACTGAAATAAGTAGCTTTTTCGGCTTTGGGCAAGGTTTTTCTTTGCTTGTCAACTTTTCTAGGTAAGAAAAAAAACAATTTCTTTGGCTGCCACCCCCCCCCCCCTCATTTTAAAGACGATGCTACGTGCCTGGCTAATTCGTATAGCTTTCTAGAAATGGGGGGGGGGGGGTAACAGACCCTTTATAAAATCGCTTATTATCTAAAAAAATTGCAAACCGTTTCTTTCTTTTAAAATTTTTAAATGCAGCGTGTAAGTTGTTCACAGTTGTTGGATTAATTCTAATGCGTAGTCCGCGGAAGTTATGCTAGTGTAGAAGAGTTCCGATTTTGAGGGGAGATAACTCAAGAATCAAGGGTAAATTATCCTTTTTTTTCACTCAAAATGACCAGCATTTCTATCATTCGGGTACTTTTTAAGATGTTATATATATATATATATTTCATATGGAAGAAAAATCCTATAAGTTCCTGCTAGAAATGAATTGCTATAAATCTAAAGCACACTCTTGTGATTTTGTAAGACTTGAAAATTCATCTCTTTAGTTAAGCACTACTTTGAAATTTTTGAAAATATTTCATCCTGGAACGAACTTTCTTAACACCCCTTACATACAGAAATATAAATAAAGGGATTGATTAAATGTTAATGAAACATTTTCTAGTAAGAAATTTTAAAAAAATTACGGGTTTGAAACTCAAACTTATTTCAAAATTTAAAACTTACTTTGATGCCGTCTTTTTTTTAAATACAGGATTAATGCAAAAATGAAACATAATGTTGCAGCTGGCACTAGGATGACTATGTACTCCGATGGAAAGGTGTCACCACTTCTCGTTGTTGGCTCTGTAGTTGAGCTGACATTTAAATTAAAGAAAGGACATTATTTCTATAGGACTTTTGCGAGAAGCTCTGACTTTTACAGTTCACTGTTTACTTGGCCATTTAAACCTGTGTCATGAACGGAGGTACGGAATTGATAGAACCATTTCCAGCTTAGTTTGGACTTTCACTAAGGCGTGGCATTTTCGGCGCTACATGTTTATCGCCTGTCAAATGGGAATAGATTCTCATTGGTTAAGAAATTAATTACATCGGGAACTTAAAATTGTTGTTGACAACGATGAGGCGACTTAAGCTCCACATTTTTGCAGGAGGAAACAATGTAACTGGTTATTCGATACACTAATTGGCATTTGCCCGAATATTTATCCCATAGTGAAGAAAAGCTATGTACATTTCAAAAGATAATTATGTAACGTCGAGAATGTCACGCCTTCCTGAAAGTCCAAACTAAGTTGGAAATTAGTCCTAATAGATAAGAAAACCTTTCTATTGGTCATACGTATGGTATTAGGGGCACTAAACATGCGAAGGCTGGAGTTGCGGGTAGGGTGGTGGTTGTCGTTTTCTTCAAGGGCAACTTGTCTATTACGCTGCTATAAAATCGTGGCCTTTAAAGGTGCTTAGACACAGATTTGAAGAGAATATTTTTACAAATTTTCTGTATAATATCGCGACTTATATATTGCAATAGCATTTCACACTGAAATATTATAAAAATCTTATTTTCTCTTGAAGTAATTGAAATTTGGACTGGTTTGATTGACACATCCTTGTACGTTCACAAATTTTAGTCTTAATACTTAAGAAAAGTGGCAATTTTCTTGCGTATTAATGAAAAATATTAAAACTAAAATCCAGAAATTTAGAGTAGAAATGTTGGAAAGCAAAGCCTCTTCACTAGTATCGTCAGCCCGTGCTCAGTGTTATGTACAGAGTTTAACAAATTGAATACTCTCTTGAAACGTACACGGTCTTTGTAAACAGGGCACAGGTTCTGTTGTTGTTAATGTTTACGTTTCTACGAATGTGTTCAATTGTTAAACTCTGCACACACTGATGAGATGGTTTTGTTTTCGCACTTAAGTATGAAGGATAAAGTTAAAAATTGTGAATGTGCAAGGAAGTGTCAATCAAACGCCTCTAGAAACTCAAAGTTTCAATAACTTCCAGAAAAAAATAAGATTTGTCTTATTATATTTTCGTTTGAAATTCTACAGCAACATATAAGTCATGATATTATACAGAAAATTTGAGAAAATTAACACCAAATTTATGTCTAAGCACCTTTAAAGCCTATCCGCATTGACTTTTTTGCGTGCAAAATCTACTATGAAAGAACATCTCCTGATGTTTTGTTAAATCTTAATGTTATAACCTTCTCTTGATAAACTTTATTATTTTGTGCACGTAAAGGCTGGTATACACGATGAGATTTGTAGTACAATACAAGTATTATAATACTTTCTTGTACACACGCTAATACATATCTTATAAGATTGTAAATAAACTATTTATTCCCACGTGTTTTCTCCTGCCATAATTCTCTCTCTGTCAAAAATATAAAAATGATAATAATAAGCTCTGCTTCTAGCATCATTCTTGTGGTGGTAGCTACTGCTTGATATATTCCACAAGTCCTTTTCCCCTTTCCATAAAACCACGAGTTTTTCGCTGTCTTTACTTGTAAAGTTGGTCATTATTAGTCCTAGAAAAGACCTAAGTAAGCGGGCAAATGGGTAACAGTTTCCTATGTAAAACTTTGTCACATTGTTACCCCAAACTAGCCCCCAGGTCATGATTTGAAAAAAAAAATCTTTACTACACAAGGATAATTCCAAAAATGTTCACCAAACTTGGCTTTACTGATCTTGAGAAGAATTTTTAGATTTTGTTTTTTTACCGCAAAATTTGATCGACCATTGTGGCCCAATTGGACCTCAAGGAATCATGATTTGAAGAACCTTAAATCTACACCATGTCAGGAAGCTTTTACGTAAGTTTCATTTTCTTTTACACCAGTGGGTCTTGAGAAGAGGATTTTAAAATGACACCACCTAATTTTTACTTTTTCTTAAATATCTCTCCTTTTAAAAGTATTCACTATTTGTCCTTTCATTTGAACAAACTCGAGCTCCCTTTCCCACGTAGCAGTAGGTGCTTACAAGAAAAATATTTCTTACTGCTCTATGGCCCTGGTTGCCAAGTATTGGTCAAAATTTGCTGTCATCCCCGGCAATTGATGATGTCTCAATATGAGTGGAATTATAAGAACGCAGGAAAAAGGAGTTAACATTTATATTTTTTTCTTTTTTGTTACATATCTTATGCTAAAATTGGTACATTTTTTTCAAAGAGATGAGTTGTGAATTGGTTTATAGATTTAATTTGCAACAAGGATTTATTTTAAAACTGTACATCCATTTGAGGAATAAAAGTCGCTCTAGCCCAAAGAGTATAAACTAGTATTTAAGTAAATGATTTGTATTATTATACCCACCGCTTGAAAAGCGGGAGGGTATATAGTAATCGTTAATTCCGTCCGTCTGTACGTCCGTCCGTCCGTCCGTCCGTCCGTCCGTCTGTCTGTCCGTCCGTCCGTCTGTTACGCTTTGGGGTACCCATCTCTTATCCGCAACTCCTCTCATACCACTGAATGAAATTTGGTGAAACTTTCACAGAATCTTTCTTACATATTGCCATTGTGCACCTCCTATTTTACTTTTTGATCCGACACATATTTTGGGTTTCCCGGCCACAGCAAAACATGGACTTTGCCATTATAACTATATGGAGGCGGGGGGTATCATTTAGTGAGCTCATCGCTCACAGTACCTCTAGTTTGTATATCTTTAAGTTGGAGACATATTCGGTACTTGCCTCACAAAAGTGTCAATATAAATATATAGGTTCTACGAAATACTATGTATCAATTTTTAAAAGAAAATATTGGTTTAAGAGCTCTACCTTGACGTAAGTTTGCAATCTTCCTCTGCCAAGAAACAACCTCTTTCAACATCTATCTGGAGACAGGCTGGATCTGGGTAAAAAACCGTTCTGAAAATTACTCAATGAGAGAACAACGATAGTAAATTACTGATTCCGCATGTCACCATCATTTGTTCAATATACTACATACAAGAATAGTTGTTGGGGCCCGTTTTACAAGAGAAGTTACGACTAAGATCAAAATATTTATCTGCTTATAAAACTTTGCAAAATTTATGATTCTAATTAAAATTGCCAGCGTAATTTATCTTAATGCAATCCTTTTAAAAAGATTAAAATCATTTCAATGTAATGTAAATTAGAAGATTAGAAATAGATGAAAATTTTGGTCTTAGTCGTTATAAAGTTCTTTTGTAAAACGCACCCCAGAACTGTAACGTTTTACTTTTTATATATCCCATAATGCAAATATGGTGCATTTTCAACCTTCCATTCCCTATTTCTAAACATATTCTTTAATAATTTAATTCTGGTTGTAACGCTTTATTTGATTGGATAAAAAATTTACTTCATATCGTATAAAATGGGTTGCCTACGTCACAATGACTTGCGTCAAAAACGTATCAATCCGCCTGACGTTACATTCAAAATTTGTACAAATTGAAGTAATTTTGTTAGAACAATTATCTTTTTTTTCTCACATCAATTGAATATTAATGAAAATTAAATTATAAGCAATGAATTTAATAGCTACCCATTTTATACGGTATAAACTGGGTTGGAACAGTTTACGCTTTTTTATAAACCGCTTCGCGGTTTATAAAGCGTAAACTGCCCCAACCCAGTTTATACCGTATAAAATGGGTAGCTATTAAATTCATTCCTTAAATCAACCTGTATAAAATATTGACGCTACATTTCTCAAGCTAATAAATGATTATCCAAATGACGAATGTGGGACCAAGAAATTTTTTTCTTCGAGAGCATCATTAATGAGACATAAAAGAAAGGTAACTTAAAGATGCATCACAGGCACCTGAAGTATGGATAATACGCCCCCCCCCTTTTTTTGTTAATGAAAAAAATGTAAGAGTGTATATCTCAAAAATATAAAATCTCCCCGTCAAACACATCTATATGTCGTTATATGCAAGCAGATTGTACTTTTTCTCACGTTTAAAGGATGACCCTATTCGGTATAACAAAATGTGTATTTTTATTATACCGAATAGGGTCATTCTTTAAACGTGAGAAAAAGTACAATCTGCTTGCATATAACGACATATAGATGTGTTTGACAGGGAAATTTTATATTTTTGAGATATTACACACTCTTACATTTTTTTCATTAACAAAAGGGGGGGGGGGGTATTATCCATACTTCAGGTGCCTGTGGATGCATTGCTTCTTACAGAATATAAATATTAATTTTTATTTTTGATTTTACATTTACTTACATAATTTCTTTTTATTACATTCGTATAAATTAACATGAAATAGTACGTCGACTCCTTTTCTACAGTGTAGTAATTGAAATTTTAATGAGCATTTTTTCGCAATCACGAAAACTTACATTTGAATATTTCTTCACTTTTGTAGTCTTTATTTGGGCATCCTTTTATAAATCCTTTGCAGTTAACGTAATTCAGATATCCCCTTCCTCCTAGTTCCAAGCAATTACCTTAAAAAAAAACAACAAAAGGGTCATGAGCCCGCCAGCTGGGTAATGCATAATTATATAAATGTATTTAGCTTTTGACGTCGGGTAATGTCATGGATTTTCGTTTTAGTGCTCCGGGTATGTGTGTCAGTTTTAATCTGATAAAAAAAAAAATTATTTGTGCCTTGTTTTTGTTTAAAACTTGCATATTAGTAAAATGAAACATGAATTAAATGAAAATAATAGTTTCGTATATTTTTTTTTAATGTTCATCAGTTATAATCAATGTTGTCCATTAACTTCACGGACAACCCTCTTACATATTTAAAAGAAGCTATTTGGTCGCTTGTATTCGTCTGTAATGTAATTTTTGCGTAATTAATACATTTACATGTAACATTCCTGAATTTTCAGTTTAGCTATTAGTATCAGTTACAACCTTTTAGTTTACTGTATTATTCATCATTTAAGAATAACAAATAGGGATAAGCTCTCTTTGAATCTTAAACAAATTTTCACACATGAGCACAATAGAGTCCCACATCCTATTTCCAGAACCCTGTACCTCAGGAATCCTAGCAAGCAAAAAAAAAAAAAAAAATCAAATATTATCGGAATATTTTTCTAGAAAAAAAAAATCATTACTTGTATTATTTGTTAAACTTAATTTAACTTTAAATGAATGTGGCTTTAAAGTTCATTTACAAATCATTTGTAAAATGAGTCAAAGAGCCATATAAAAGTCATCAGTATATTACCATGTTCTGTCATTTTACTATATTCATTATAGCAGAACTCCACAAGCATGTTTCTCTTTGGTGTGGGCAGGCAGTGGTACTGGTTGACTGGTGGGTCATTATCAATTGAACAGTTCATTTGGTTAGAGACAGCCCTCCACTCACTCTCAGTTTTGGGACACCTCTGAGTCATGAAAACCTTAATTGTCTCTTTGTATCCCGGAAGTGGTATCCGTATCTAATGAAAGCCAAAACATCGTAACATAAACATAAACAAACATCTCTTAAAATAATTTTAAAACCCCGCTACGAAGGGTTGTTACCCGCGTAGCGAGAAACGCTTTATTTAAAAAAAATCGTTGGGTTAACCCTTTAGCTTAATTGGTAGAGCACTGGATTGGCAAGCCAGAGCAGTGGGCCCAATCCTCAGCAGAGGCAATAAATGTCTCTGTTACATTTGGTGTCCATGTAGGGACCTGTGTGTTCTCTGGCGGGTGAGTGTGACTGCCCCCAGAACTTCGCCCCTTTGACATAATTATGTCGACATTCCAAAAGAGATGAGGAAATCTCATTCTCTGAAGGGGGACAATGTAGTCATTTGCTTGACGCACTGCTGTCTAGAAATAATTTAAATGAATTTCGTGCCATTGCTGGTTGAATAGATGTTTAACTGTAATGACTTGTAATCGGTCGTAGTCTTTTTGATAAAATATAGCGGTAATGATCACTCGAAATTTTAAAAATGTGACGGTAATGAATTGAGACTATGTACGTAGCGGTAATGTTGATCTAATCCTCTAGTAATATATATATATATATATATATATATATATATATATATATATATATATATATATATATATATATATATATATATGTAGCGATTAAGCAGAAATGACATTCTGAAACCTTACATATTTATATTTTCCAGTAATCAATTTATTCTGGATTTATATATCCCTGTAATCCATTCATGAGAAGTTTCAATGAAATTATTGTAACGAACCTAATATGTACATGTAATTTATATATTCCAGTAATCTATATATGCGAAAGTTGTAATAAAAAAAATTCTCTATTGTTTTCCTAAGCAGTAATGAAATAAACATTTTCTTGGTTCGATCACAGGGGCTTGTGTAGAGAAAATAAATCAGTTTAAAAAATTAGTACTTCGGAGAGAAAAATACACATCCGAGGTACTAATTTTTTAAACTGATTTATTTTCTCTACACAAGCCCCTGTGGTTCGATTACAGTAATCCGAAAGCGAAAATGACTATTCTGGAAAATCACATCTATTTATATATCCCTGTAATCAATTCATGCAGAAGTTTCAATGAAATTATTGTAACGAACCTAATACGTACATGTAATATTTATTTCCTCATAATTAATTAAACAAATTAATTGAACATATACCTGGCTTGATCTTGCTGATAAGAGAAAGTAAAAAAAGGCCGCAACGAAGTAAAAGCCTTCCACAGATCTATTGCTCATTTTCCAAGGTATTTCCCTGCAAATCGTTTAAAATAAAATAAGATAATTCAAATAAATATTTCAACAAGTCAAAAAATGCTTTAAATGTTATTTTAATTGCTCAGTGTTAAATGGACAAAATCCTACAAAACGCTTCTTTCAGGGTTCTCCATTCTTTCGGATAAAGTCTTATTTTTATTTCTATTTACGATAATTGCAAAATTATTAGAAGTCAAAGAAAATAATTAAATGTGTCACTTAATAAAAATTAAAAAATCTCGTTAAAAAAAATATAATACCTGTGTATTGCAAAAATAATCCACAATGCGTAAATTAAGGTGACCATATATAAGCATAGTACTGAAGCTTCTGTAGTGGATAATCTAAAACTCGGAATGGAACAATACACGGAAAACAAGAAAATTTCTGCTCTGAAAATCGGCCACTTTTGTAATTTTTTATTTCATATGAGACTTTGATTTCATATGAGACATACATGTATTCAGTCCCTCAAAAGTTGCAGGTTGCAGCCAAGGTAGATCCAAATATTCTTGTTTCCTGATAGTTTTTATAGTTGATTCATCAACTTCTTTATCAAAAACTTGCCTTGTTTCAGAAATTGTTTGAATATTGAGTATACTTTTGTGTATCGAATCAAATGGAAAACTTAAACCCCACATGTAGGTGATAAGGACATATTGCTACATAAGTAAGGGAACATTGAAATCATCACGTTTATCATAATGTTTTGTTGTGAGATTACCATAAATGTATACCCCGGTATTACAGTAATTGTTTTCTCCTTGCCATATGTAAATGTTTTTGACTAAATTCTGCTTCATAGTGTACTAATGGGAATTCCAACAGATTGTTTAAAGACCTGATCCCCAAAATCTGTCAATCAGAAACACAAGCATTTTTTGATAACAACCTCGAACTACTTGTGTGTACTAACAGAATGTTTTTACGAAACAATTTTGCAATTGATGACCAATGACAATGTACGTTTTATTTAATGTAGATAAGATATAATGTGAGTGAGGATGTAACTGACATTTAAACTTAGCTTTTCAGCACTTGGTCGAATGCGAAAGGCAAGTAGCATTGATCGGGGATGGGGGTAGGTGTTCAGTCCCCCTTTTTTCCAGACATGATTTTGTCTAAAGGGAAGGCTCATTGAAAGTCTGAAGTCTGGTTGCCCCCTCCCCTCCCCCCACTTTTGGTTGCAGTAATGTCAAATAGGGGTATTATGGGAGTAATGCGGTGTTTTAGTAAAATTTTGTGTACTTAAAGAAGTTAGAACCTAACCCCCCCCCCCCCCCCCTCTAGGAATAGGGTTTTCGCGTTTGGGCATTTTTTCCTTCTTTAATTTTATTTGCTTGTCCAGCTTTTTCAGAAAGTTTTTTTCCAACCCCCCCCCCTTTTTCAAAACGATGCTACATTACTGGGTGTAAAACAGTACATCGACAATCAATGAAAAAGTCTTAAAAATTATTTCAGAAAAACATGTAGGTATGGTCAATAGTCATAGAAAATTATCTTCAACCGAATATCCATTTTAGATCATTGTTCTTTTAATGTCATATTCCATTCCGTCTTTTACCAATGGCAATGCATGTGATCTATTTTTTATTTTTCCTTCCGCATTCTTGTAGCTTCAGTGTGCAATAAATATAGAAAGACGTGGACTTAAATGTAGGTCAAATGTACTGCTTCAGTCGTGAACGTATTAACAGGGGACCAAGTGGGCACCTTTTTCCACACATTACTTTTGTTATTAGAAATGCTCGATAAATGGCCGGTTGGTCCCCGATTTAAGCTGCAGTAAAGTCAAATAATAGTGAAATAAGCAAATGTTTTTGATATAGTGTTTGAATAAAAATAAGTACTGAAAGAAGTTGGAACCCATCCCCTCCTATCCCCTCCCATGAAACAATTTTTGAGTTTGGTCAATTTTCACAGGACCCTCTCCCATCTTTTTTTTTCATGTAGAGATGTTTTCCTTAATAAATTGAATTTTTTTCTGGTCTCCCGCTACCTGGTGTGACTTTCAAAAACGACACTTAAAATGTCCTTGTTGGCAAATTACCATGTCTGACGAAGTTTTACTTGGGAAAGGGAGGGTTTGAGGGATCAGTAATTGCATTACGCCAATGAGTCGGGTAGCTTAAGGATCACTTTTTTCTCTCAGAAACTAAGGGCCAAAACTAGCCAGCTTAAGTACTAGTTCAATCTGTTTTACTGAGAAATTTGTTGTCGAAAATAACAAAAAATAAAGACTAACAATGACTACTGTTACCTTTGATTTTTCTTAAAGGGGCTAGGGGTTGTAACCATATGCATTTTCAGACTATTCTGTCCTCCTTTAGAAGAAGGGCTCCATATAAAGATATACAAAAATAATCAAATTTTAAAACAAATATGTATGAAAGTTTTCTTTGCCAAATGATAGTTGACAGCTTAAGATGTCATATGTAAATCAACTAATTTACATGAAAGTATAATATTAAGTATCATCTTCTTTTTCACATATAAGATTGCGGATAAATTCTGCTTGATATGAATACAAAAAAGATCTAATAATAGGGCGCAATAGGCACTCATGGAATTCTAATAGATTGTCGAATACATTTTATCAATCAGAAACTCAAGCATCTTTCTTAATATTATACTTTCATGTAAATTAGTTGAATCTGATTGGTCGAGAAACATTTGTTAAAAAACACTATTACCCGCTGAATAATGAAGCCACGCCTTCCAGCGTAGCAACAGTCAACAGTGCTTGACGACGAGTGATATTCCAAAAAAATAGCGAGTACGCAGAATTTATGCGCGCACGGTTCACTGTTATAAGTATTTGTTTAAGACATTCAGTATATAATATAATAAATATTGCAACTACATGCAATATTTATATAATATCAACTTCAGAGTAGTTGTTTATGCATGCAAGCAAGATAAGAATGTTTTTAACAAAGCAATTTTGCAAAGTACGTAAATTTACGTGTTCCATTTTCAATTGCAAAAGCATCTTTTAATGATGTAAAAAAGTGGATTTTTTATCGTGGGAAATGTTTGTTTATAAAGTTAAGAACTCGTAAGTGTTATACTGTTGATTTTAGTAAAATTTTGTGATTTCAAATCTTAATTCCAAAAGTTCCCTGGAATTTCTAAGTATCCACATCTGAATTAAAACATTGCTGTGATGTCATTCCTTTGTTCTTGCAGTCTAAAAATTTACCTGTGGCAGTCCGATATTAGTGAGCAGTCTGATATTAATCGTAATATCAGACTGTCTCAGTACTGATATCCTTCAAATTTGGACTGCTTCTGAACAAAAGAAATAAAAAGTGTGATAATTTAACAAACAACAATTTAAATTTCTCACATGATGATTTAGAAACATTGCACTTACAGAATTGCAAAAAAAAAAAAATTAAATTTTCATTTACATCGAATATAGTGGGATAGGAAGAAGAACATGCGGCAGACCAGATAATGCAAAGTAAGAACAAACATAAAAAAACACAAAAAACGGGAAAACTTCTAATAAACTTATTAAAATTGGAAAAGTGTTTCAACCCCTTTCTCATGTTTTTGAAAAAGAGTGGGCAAACTGGGGGTCACCAGAGAAGCAAATAAACTTTCAAAGCCCAAAAAATAAATTCATAATAAAACACAAATTTCATTTTTCTTTTAAAAAGGAAAATGCATATAGATGCAAAATCAAGGTAACTAGGCCTAGTATATTATAATTAATACTCAATTTGAAAGATTCGCAGCAAATTTTGAAAGAAATTTGAAGTTTTTCAACGTTTCCCTCAAAACTCCTTGATTATTGATTATACTGAGTATTTGTTTTTTCTGTATTATGAAACATTAAAAACAGAGGTATATGTAGACGCTTATCATAAAAAATGAAATGGACTAGTGTACCTTTAGCATCTGCATAATTTTCTGTAAATATTCTTCATATCGTCAATTTCCCTTCATTCCAAATTCATCATTCACTAGATTGTATGATAATTCGTTGCACTGATTTAATTTCCTTGTATGTTTTAAGGAAGAAAAATTTTGTCCCCACTCTCCTTTTCAAATTCTTTCAAACACTTTCTTCGGTGTAGCCAAATCCATAAATACTGAGTACTTTTCATTTAAGCCTGCTGCTTCAGTGGTCATTAACTTTTGTTCTGATATCGGACTGTCTCAGGTAACTCAAAAGCAATGTTTTAAGTACGATATAAGCCTCATACAATTCTGTATTAAAAAATATCAGACAGTTTTCGGCCCTAACGGGTCTCAAACTGTCTGATATGTATTCGGCATACTAGTATATCCAATACGGACCATGTTTTGAACAGTTTAGAATGAATGCTTTATCAGATAGCCTTCATATAAGCCTTCTACTCCCCAATTGTAGACATATTTTGTAGCCAACTTTTATATTTTATCCACCTCCAAACATTTTATGGCTGTCTCTCTAGACCATTTAAGTCATTTGTTGTGATTTTTGTCGGGTGGTAGAAAATTAAAAAAGGAGTTTATTGGGCTGTGCAGATAATTGCAAAGGGCAAGAAGGTGGAAAAAATGCACAGTGTGGTTTGAAAATATGTCTACATCAGGGGAGCAAAAGGTAAAACGTTGTTTTCGAAGTATAGAGAGACCCAAGAATTTATAACCACCACGAAATGCAAAATTTCATAGACATTACTGCGAAAAAAATTTCCAACCACGAAATCAAATCCCCACAAACCAATTTTTCTTTCTCAAACATTGAAAATTTGATCCCACAAAAATATGGGATTTTACACATTTTTTGTACGTATTATGGGATCTGTAGCGTTATGGTCAAAGACTATGATATATATATAAACCATAACGCTACGTAAATCCACCGGGAATGACTGCATATATATGCTGAAAACAGATATAACTATAACGTCATCAAAAGCGCTATAATTATTAGACTAATATTCAAACACATACGGGAAAATGAAACAATACCACATGACTAGTGTAAAGGACTCGTCGTAAAGCTTCCAGAGAAGAAAGATCTTCATTTTTTGTCTCAACTGGAGAGGCAAAACACTACTCCCAGTCCCCAGCAAGGTGTTCGATAAAAGACTGAATATTGTGCAAAATAGACAGAGCAATAAAAAAGAAAGGGAGGGAGGAGCATGCTGATTGAAGAACAGGAAGAGGATTATAGACCTAATTTTTGACATTTGTAACATTATAGAAAAGTGTTTTGAATGACAAATGCCACTGTACGTCAAGTTTGTAATTGTTTTTTTTAAAAGAAAGCATTTGAAAGTGTGCACAGAGAAACACTTTTGAAAAT